ATGTCACTCCGGCGGAGCCGCTTCGGCCACTTTGGTTCTGCGTGACCGCTCAGGTAAGGTCGAGATTGAATAATGAACTTGGGGTCAAAACCTGAACCTGCTTCTGGTAGTGTAGCCGAGCAATCCCTAGTGTCAAGATAAGCATCCAGACGGGCAATACATGCGATTTCATCGGTCGTAGGCCGAAGAGAAAACCGCCGAAAATACTTCAAAGTGATACCGTAAATACTGAAGGTCCTCCAGCGAGAAAGGAAGGTCGCGACAATCGATATCGGTATACGGGTCGACTTCAAATCCAAAAACACGAGCTTCTCGTATGTGCTGGAACCTTGCTTTCAATCCTGGATCTGAGGTCTTCCTGGATGATCCGCTCAGCATCCGACAAGTCAGGACAAGATCAATGGTGTCCTGACATGCCTTCGGCAAACCATACAAATCGTTGCCGAATGTTTTCTTATGAAATTCTCGCATATACTCCAAAGACCTCCCAAGGAACGGGGGATGCAAATTCCGTCGAATTTTGACCAAAGGCTCTTTGTATAACTAGCGGGGATAATTTGCTTTCGGCCTCTTGCCTGAAATGTTCAAGACGTGCCTTCATTTCCCCTGGTCGAATGAGAAGTTTGATCCGTTATCAGCTTCTTCAAACATGGTCTCGACGTCTTGATCGACCAGTCCGTTTCCCCTGAGCCAACTCTGTCATAATTGCTGGAGGTGGTCGCTCATCCTCAGTGGCAACTGTATCCTTCGGCCGCCACTTAGGGGCCGAAGTTTCTTGGCTGCTTGTCGGCGAGCCATGCAATCTATCCGTTGATTGCCGGCGTTTCTGAGATTTGGACAACACGGTGTAGACGCCCTTCCGAAGAATGGTATGTTAATACCAACGTTGATCTCTAGGCTCGGGAGGCTTGAAGGTCTTTTTGACTCCGTGATGATCCTGAACTGCTAGAATTTACGCTTATAGTAATCATCGTCATAATAAAATGAAGCATCAAAATCGAGGTGCCGCCTGACCGGGGGTGTCTCTTCCATCCGTACTTTAGGACCGAGCCTCCCAAAAACCCCATGATGTTGGCCTTCATTGGCTATCTTTTCCCGAGTTACGGCCACGGGTTGCGAAGAAGGCTTCTCCTCTGGTTCACTGTCGACCTTCGCTCTACATTTCCTGCACAAAACCGCCGTCCCCACTATGTTCGTCGGTGCTATAATCCATCATAGGTTTGAACAATAGCGGGCCCCCGTTAAAAGCCCGTAGGTAGTTTATTTGAACGAAAATCGACCATGAAACGTGGCCGAACATTCTGATTCCGCGGGCGTTGTGTCTCAACCACTTCAGCCTTGCCTTTCCCTTTGTCCTTGGGTAGGTACGCGTCGACCATGTTTACTGTTGCCGTGGGGAACGGATCATTCACACTCATCCTCTTCTCGGGACTTCAATTTGCCATTATCAATCCAGCTTTGGACGTTATCACGAAATACGACGCAATTGTTTGTCGTGTGTTTGCTCGAATTGTGGTATTTGCAATACACCTTTCCTTTAAAGCTCTTCGGCCTTAGGAATGTTATGACCGGCCCCGAAGCTTAATGATTCTTGCTGATAACAGTTGGTCAAAAATTACGTCAGCCTTGGTAATATCAAAGTATAAACCTTTGACGGTTTCGATGTTCCTTCAGTGGCCGAGCGACTTTTGGCTTCTCTAGAGAATCAACCTGAGTCAATGCCTTGCAAATGTATGGCTTATCTATTACTATCTCAGCCGCATCCACACTAACACATTCATCCTCGGTTGATGCATAATTGACAGTAGGGTTCTTGTAAATCGTTCCCGAGTTGGAGTCTTCGAAATCTTTTCCTCGCGGAGCAAATAATCATACTGCTCGACATGTTGGGCCAATTCGTACATATCCTGAAAATTTGCCCCCAAAAATTTCTTTTTGTATTCGACGTCAAGGCCATTCAAAGCAAGCCTGACAAATTCGACTTCGGGTAAAGGCACTCGGCACCAATTCCTAGTCGATTTGAACCTGGTAAGATAATCCATTGGTGACTCATCAGATGCTTGAGCCATCCGTTGCTAATGAAGAGACTGACATCTCCATCCCCCGGCCGATAAAACTGCTCGTGGAACTTCTCGACCAACTCCCTCCCAGTTTTGGACGGAAATTAGGCGGGAGATTGATGTACCAGGCAAACGCCGAGCCGGTCAATGAAAAATTGAACAGCCGTAACTTGTGGAAATCACTATTAACATCTCCGCATTGCGCGGTGAAACGAGCCACGTGCTCCAATGAAGACAGGGACGATTCACCAGCAAAAAGACTAAAATCTGGGATCTTGAAACCCTTCGGGTATCCAAACGTCTCCACGTAAGCTGGGTACGGATGAATAAACTTGGGAAACTTCGGCCCTTTCTTCATGGCCCGAGTCGATCATCCGCTGAACTTCGGTCATATCACAGGTGTTGCTTCGACCCTCTGGTCGGTCCCGTCTGACCTACTATTCGACCCTCCTCCTTTCTCCAAGTTAATTGGTTTGAGCGGGGCAGGAATAGGCTCGGCCGGTACAATCGGTACCGGGTTGTTTCCTGGTAAACAAGGTTGGCGAAGATCGAAAGGCCTGCTGCCACCAACTTGACTAACCAACATTTCGAGCAGCCTGGTTTGTCGGTCATTGGAACTGAGTATCGCGTCATGCAACTTGTCAATGCCTCGACTAAATGTCTGCTCGACTGACCGAGACTGCTCGTCCAGTCGCTTTTGAAGAAACGACCTTGTTGGTGGATCAGATCCTTCACCATCATCCTCGTCACACTCTTCTACTACCCCTTCAGTGAGAATGCAGGTGTTCCTGTTAGGGACTTCTGGACCGCGGAGTTGACTGCCGAGATTAACTTCTCTTTCTCGGCGGGTCGCACTCGTGGACTCAGGTGTCACGGCGCTAAGGGGATTCTGCGCCTGTGGCACACTTTGTCCCGTGCTTTGATTCGGCAAATCAGCTATCGACTTTCCCATAGTGGTTTTCTTTTTTACCGATCGTGTTTCAATTGGCATGAACTTCGTAGTTTAGCACTGGGTCCCACTGGGCGTGCCAAAATGTTGACCCTAGAAACTACAAAGCCTACGTGGCGCGCAGGCCGAGTAATTAATGAGCTAACTACGTCCTTCGGTGAATGCGGGGCGTGCCAACTCGTCGGCCGAGCTCGGCCGAGGAGTAAATTTGTTGATGTTGCGTTGGGTCGCGCTACTGACTTCTGCGTCTTGCGATTGCGGCCGAGAAAGGAACACGTCTCGGCCTCTTGGGTTCTCGAACCTGAAGACAAGGTTACTATTCTTACGAAGTTCAAAATCAAATTCGGCTTTCAATGTGCCGAATGTAATAACTGTAACACCTCACTTCGCCGAGAAGGCTGATGAGATGACCTCGACCAATAAGGATTTAGAAACCCTTCTCGACCGAGACTTGGATAGGTAATCAATCGTTCTCGCAGCAGTGCTATTGATGCCAACGGAAGATACTGCGAGACCGACTGACTCTACGGTGACAGAGCTATCTATGCCGACTTAAGATATCACCGGTTGCTTCCACATTGCTGTTGATGCCAACGGAAGATGTGTTAGCAAAAAAGGAAAAAGAAAAATCACAAGTTGTGAGAGTTTGCGCAGGGCAATTTTGTATTGATTTGTGGGGCCTTTCCCGTTGCTGAATGTCTTGTATTTATAGTAGCAGAACACCGAGTCCGAATTCCAATCCTATTCGAACTAGGTTCCCTTCTCTGGATTAACATTACCTCGATCAGTCCTATCTCTGCTAGGACTACGAATCTAGTCCTTAACTGAGCCAGATTCGCCTTCTAGTTTACTGATCTCGTCGAGAGTCCCTATTGTATTAGGACTCGACTTGCATTCTGATTTAACCGACCTAGGCTCGGAAGCCCATGAGCTGAACGCTCCATGACCCTTTCGCCGTACGGCTTCCCGGGCCGAGAGTGATTCCTCCCTCGGCCCAAACTTGTTATTTTGGGCCCAAACAAGAGGTGATTGAGCAGTTTGAGTTACAGTTTTCTATTTTTTTCTTACGTATTTTTCCTTTCGACAGCTATTATGCATATATTTCATTGTATACATTTTCAAATGCACATGAACAAGATCACTCCCTATAATTGTTGAACTGAAAGATTGGTCGGCTAGTAGGTCATGGTGGGCAGTTTATTCAGAAACCTATTTTGCATTCTTTTTTTCGCCGGTGAGAATTCTGGCGGTGGTGAATAGGTTGGGCAGTGGGAACTGAAAAGAGGAAGGGCGTGCATGTAGAAGAAAAACCAAAGACCAAAGCTTCACTACTAGAATTCTAGCTAAGTAGCTATAGGACACCGTTTTTTACACACTGCAGACACCGAAGTACATTATCGGCGGGCTTTGAAACTCGGACACCGAAGATCAGTGTCGTTAACAAAATGTATTCGAGACGTTGTGCCTTGGTGCTAACTTTTCCTGTTTCCTATGCAAATATTTTCTTGTTCTTGTGCTTTATCTTTCAGATATCTTCAAGGGCTTTTTATGTTCTTTTTCTTTTCTGTAATTTGCCCCACACCAAACATTTTCTCTCAAACAAAACAATCCTCTCTCTCACACTTCGTCACCCTTTTCTCTCTCACTCCCTCTCTTCCTCACGAAGGCTCTTCACCGAGTCTCTCTCTATCTCCCGCAGATACAAAAACCCACCATCACCAACACCACCTATGCATCACCAACAATCCCTCTCTCTCTGTCTCTGTCTTCCTCTTTGCTTCAGATCAGATTTGGGTTTTTCCAAACCGCCTTAGATCTGATTTTTTTTTTCTTTTCGGTTTGAGTTCATATTTTTTGTGATCTGAATTGTATATTTTCAGATCTTGCATGGGCCTTCATGTGTTAGAGATTTGATTTTTCGTTTTTGTTTTTAATAATTGTCGCTGCATGCAATTTTTTGATAATTCATATGATGGATTGTTGTTCTGCAGTGATGAGTGTTGAGTACAACAAGGTTTTGTAGTGAGGAGGATGCACTGACAGGTATTACTATTCTCCTTTTCTCTATCTTCATTTTTCGTTTTCTTTATGCTTATTAAAAACTTCATTTTTGTCGCTCTTGTAAGTAATTTATGATGTTTATTTATGGTATTTATGCGTTGTTAACTTTTATGGTGTACCAGAACCAAAAAAATGAAAAAGATGATTTAATAATCGATTTAGTCAGAAATAAAATTAGAGTTTAATCAGTGTTAGTTTTTATTATTTCAACTTTGTTTAATTAAAATGTATTATCAGACAAGTTGTTGTAATGGATTTTTATCACATATAGTCCTTAAATTGGAAATTTGATCAATGTAAATCTTGAAAATAAATACCTTAAATTAACGTGGTTGGTCTGTAATAATTTTGCCAAAAATTTTGTTATCCACTTCTCTGGCACATATTTGAATTCCATATGTTCAATAAAATATTGCCATATGGATAGATGATTCAAAATAAAAAGATAATTTGAAATGGACAACACAACCACCCCACTTAAGGTCTCAAACCCCTCCTCAAGCCTGCACAATCTCAAATTCCGTTCTTTTTTAAATGTGCTGGCACCTTCTTAATTTCAATACGCAAATCAATTGAATTCCTTGAATTCAATCCGCATTCGTAAAAATTAACATTTTTTTAGCAGATTCATTCAAACCCCTTACCCCTCACTTAAAACTACATTTGGGTCTCTATATTTTTGTACAAAATTACCCATAATATAAACAAAGTAACCGGTCTGAAAGATTGAAACTCCATCAGCTCAGCCTCTCCAGCTCAAACCCTCAAGACTGCACTACCACCACAGAAGAAAAGACCCATCGTACGGCTTGGACCTAGCCGCGGTGATGAGAAGACGAAGGAGGAAACGTTGTCGTTCTTCACAACGTGCCGTTCTCTGAGATCTTGTCGTGTCGGCCGGATAGTGATTTTTGCGGCGTCGATGGAGGTGGGGACTGGAAACTCTTCGTCGATCGATGAAAATAAAATGGAGACGGAGGGGATTGCAAGCAGCTTGGGTGTGTTTGGTTGCGGTTACATGTGGGGCGAGGTGGGGTGGGGGCTGTAGTGGTTGATCGGTGGGACGGGAAGAAAGAATATGGTTTTTTCTTTTTCTATTTTTTAAGTTTATAATTATACAAAACTATTTTTTATTATTTAAATCTTTTTAATCCACATGGTCATAATTTGACCGAGATTGAATATATTCTACTATTTCTTTGTACCCCGATATATAGAAATGGTGGTGTTTGTCACTAGTTCTTGTAGGGCTTCTTATTTAAAATTATGAAACATTTGCTTTTTTTTTCTTTCTTCCTTCCACATATGCTCGACTAACATAAAATCTGGTTGAATGAATGGACAGATTGAACATGACAGCTCCAATTGTTCCTACACTTCTTAACCGTAAAAACTATGAAAGTTGGAGTTCTCGGATTGAGAGCTACTTGCTGGCCGAAGATCTTTGGGACATTGTCGAACACACCTATGACTTTGAAAACGAGGCTTTGAGGAAGAAGGATGTCAAAGCCTTATATGCAATCAAGAATTCTTGCGGGGATGATACGTATAAACTTATAAAGGACCTAGACTCGGCCAAAGACGCATGGGATACCTTGTCTGAAAATTTTAAACTTGGATATAATCGATATAATCAATCATCAGATGAAATAGGTACGTACGTATATATTGAAGAAAGTTGAGACTTTACTGTAAAATCAATTGATAATATAACAAGTAGACCAACCTCTTATGATCCCTTGCAAGATTTCTCCTTTTTAGAATTCTTTGATCTTCACATTCTCACATGCATGAAAAGTTCAAGGAAAATAGAAAAGCTGATAAACATAGGGCAGTGGTTATACATTGGAGGTGATCTATTCTGATTTGAGGAGGAATATTTTGTAATTATTATAGATTATCTCGGTACGCACAACAATTATTTCTTCAGTACTATTTTTAAACGTAGGAATTTGGACGAAGGGATGAAAAGGAAAAAAAGGAATTGAATTCGACAAAAAGAAAAAAGAAAAATAGGAATTGAATGGCATCTATCATCTAAACATCAAGATTTTCATTCTCAGATAAGAGGACAATTCTTCAAGCGTATCCGACTCCGACTCCGACTCCGACTGATCGTGATGCTAGGCCAGAGTTGGCAATGGAAGAAGGGCACACTGGAGGTATATATGTATATACCTTGATCCTAACAAATTAAGACATCTATTTAATGATAGAAAGTTTAAGCGTAACTTGGCTCACCACTATCAACACCGGTAGTGTCTTTTACTTAATCAAGCACCTATTACTAGGTGTGGAGTTTATCACAAAATACTTCGGTGATATTAGAATTAGAATCTCTGTTATATAAATTATATAACCTTTTCTCTTCCGTATTTTGAATTATTTGGTTATGTCCATTAGGTAGAAATGCAGGACTGCTACTAACAGCTTTATTAATCCATTCTCTTTTAGTTTATCTGCCGCAGAATTTCCCATTTGTTTTCAAATTGTATTTAATTATTTTCATTCAAGTATGGGAAAGTTAGCAATTGCTAAACATGGTAGGACATGATGAGAGCAATGCCAACAATATCCATGAAACTTTCGTCAAATATGTGGGGTCTAAAGATTGGGATAAAGCGATCAAGTTTCTTCGCCAACATCGCCAGTTACGAAGTGCAAGAATTTTTAACGGTACGGCCCTTCACTTCGCAGTCAAAAGGTTAAGCAAGTGCAGCGTGCGCAATATAGAAGAGTTGGTGGACTTAATGGAAAAGGAAGACTTGGAAATACAAGATATCCATGGTTATACAGCTCTGTATCATTTAGTAAGAGAAAATCCAGAAATGGTTGAAGTAGCCAAACGAATGGTTGCAAAGAACCACAATTTACTTACAAATTTACCTGATGATGACACCCAGAACCCTCTAGTTATCCACGCTGAGTGGAAGGAAAAAGGGGAAAGAATGGCTCGCTATCTCTATTCCTTCACTCGTGAAACACTAAGGGAGCGTTTGTTGCGCCGGACTATCTCGGACTGGACTAGCTTCAAGGACTAAGCTGGATTGGCTTAGACTAGACTAAGCTGGACTAATTTAGTGAAGCGTTTGGTGCAGTGTTAGACTAAGAAGCTGGATAATAACAAATTCTAATATTATATTATTTAATATATAAATTATTAATATTTTATTATGATCTAGGTGACCGGAGATGACGAGGAGTCTATCGGGAGTGGTTGTTGAGCATGACGAGGACGAGAGAGGATAGTCTTAGCTAGTCCCATGGTTATTGGAGGGTCTCACTAAGACCTCTTAGTGAAGGGTTTTGTCCATACTAGTCCCCTTTAGTCTCATTAATGTTAGTCCCAGCATGGAACAAACACAGTATTGGACTAACAGTTAGTCCAGTCCAGTCCAGTCCCACTTAGTGAGGGCAAACAAACGCCCCCTAAGAGTTGTCGATGGTGCTGAACTCATTTCTCTCGGTTTTCTTCGCAGGAGATTTGGTTCAATTTTTCTCTGCATACTTGCAATACATACTGGTCGAGTTTCAAACATGACCTATTTTTAATGTCAATCTTTTCCTGTGTGAATTTTTTTTTTTTTTTTTGTGTTACAATTTTTTATTTTCTGCATACTTATAGTGGTTTTTTTTTTCTTTTCACACTTCTATTATATACAGATATTGTGTGGGATTTGATTCAACGTTACCCACAATTGGCTGTGGCTAAAGACTACAATGGGGATATTCCCTTAGCAACATTGGCCAATAACCGTTTAGCATTTTTAAGTGGAAGCCGACTCAATTTATGGGAAAAATTGATCTATTATGGTTAGTACAAATTACAATATTGCTTTTTTATTTTCTCATCATATTTTGTGTAACTGCAATTTTTCTAAATGAAAAAACTTGATATAAGTTCAATTTTGTGATTCACAATTAGGAATAGTCCACTTTTGTAAAATTGGTCTAGTGACTAGGATTACACATCGGTATCCCAATTCTTCTTTTTTCTTTCTCCTTGAACACCATTATTAGTTCAAAATCTACTGTGGTTTTTGCTGGATTCAAGATCAAATCTTCTGCAACCAAAATAGGTGTGGCCTTACTCATTGTTTGACACATAATAAGTTTATGACGACGAAGTTAATAAAAGTTAAGTTTATAAGCACATGTCAATCAATGATTGAGGCCGCAGAGAGGCGACACCCATTTTAGGTGCAAAAGATTTGATCTATGCTGTTGGTTGTTGACACACCCCGATCTTAGAATCAAGGCGTGCTGGCGTCACGCCTTGATTCTAGGATCGGGGTGTGTCATTTTGGTATCAGAGCCTAACCTCGGCCGCGAGTGTGCCGACGAGGACATCGGGCCCCTAAGGGGGGTGGATTGTGACATCCCACATCGCCTAGGGGAGTGATCCTTAAATGTGTATTCCTATCCCTACCTAGCACGAGGCCTTTTGGGAGCTCACTGGCTTCGGGTTCCGTAGGAACTCCGAAGTTAAGTGAGAAGGACGCCAGAGCACTCCCAGGATGGGTGACCTACTGGGAAGTTGCTCGTGAGTTCCCAAAAACAAACCGTGAGGGAATGGTAAGCCTAAAGCGGACAATATCGTGCTACGGTGGTGGAGCGGGCCTGGGAAGTGATCCGCCCTGGGCCGGGATGTGACAGTTGTTGGCTCGGCTGTTGAGATTTTATTTTTATTTTTCTCATTTAAAAGAATGAATTGTTTTGTATAATCCATGTGGCACTGTTTATTAGACTAGTAGACCACATATGTGTGCCATGTCAGCACACTAACATAATAAGTGACATAATTCTAACGAAATGATCAAATTGATACGTGACACTCAATTTTAAGTACAACATTGACCAATTTTGAAATTTATGACCACAATGATGAGTTAGGTCAATTTCAAATACCACTAAAAACCCTTTCCAAAATGGATCATGAGGTTTCAATTTTCTCACATTGCTCCCTAAGTTTTTAAATCGTAGTAATTTACACCTTTTGTCTAACGAGTTATTTGAATCTTTGTTAATTTTGATGACATGGTGAGCATGAAACCCGCAATTGAATTGATATGTAATTAGCATTTACAACACATTGACTAAAAAACTGATCAATTTAATGAATAATTAGACATTCAAATATACAAAATGTGTAAATTGATACAATTTTAAAATTTTAGGGTGTAATGTGAGAAAATTGAAACCTCATGGCTCATTAAAAAATCAAATCAAACTTTGAGGATGTAAAATGTAATTATCCCTTACAATTATTACTCAAATTCCAACTTGACTGAAATACAATTTTGCATCTTTTTAAGGTAGAGTCCCACTTTTAAATATTGGGTTACACCTAAAATCAAATATGACTTTTGACTCCAAATTTTGGAGAGCCTAATGAAATTTGAAATTCATGTCTTTACTTTGCGACAATAAAGATAAGGGTAATTCTATTGCGAATAATTTTCATGTAAACTTGTGGGTGCACTTCCTTATTCACCCAATTGTAAATAATGATTTTTTTTTGTTATTGTAAATAATGATTTTTATCGTAAAATGTTACAATTGAAGTCGTTCATATTTTTAATTAATAATTATCTGAAAGTCATCTCTACAAAACAACAATCAAATTGAAAATTGTTTAGTCATTCATACGTATTAAACGAATCAACAGTTTGATAACAAGTAACGTTCTCATGTTACATAATTATTCAGTTACAAGTAATGCATGAATACGTAATTAACATACAAAACTTGCTTCATAAGAATATTTCCTTGAATTAATGGTTGGGCTTGTGTTCTTATCTTGATAGGTATACGCATAAAACCTCTTCTTCCCATTAAGGAAAGTGACCAGAGTGATCAAAGGCATCTCTCAAACCAAAAAGAGAATCAAGGGCCTCTGTCAAACCAAAATGAGAATCAAAGGCATCTCAATTCCTCAGGTATTTTACATGTCTGCAATGCAATTTGGCTTTTGTTAATGCCATGGTAATTTGTTCATCTTCATTCCATATTTCCTACTTAGGTTATAAATAAGGTTATCTCCAACCGAAGGCTGGCCAGATAGCTCGTTTTAGCCCTCTGATCCTTCAAGAAATTAATAATTTAATGAACAATACATGACTATATTTGCTTCCATCTCCAACCAAGGAACAAAAGGTTATAAGTAAGTCGACAAAACGAAATATCACACTGCTCAAGCTTGATTTATTTAACTTTTTTGGAGCTCAAGCCAGGCTTGACTTTCTTGTGATTCGAGCTCAGCTAGAGTGAGCTTAAAAAACTCAAGCTTGATACCAAGCTCAAGCGGTTTTGATTGAGCCATTTAGGGCTGGTTTGGTATTGTTGTACTTTGAAAAAAAGCTGTTGTGAGAATAAGCGGCTGTGCTGTGAGAATAAGCGGCTGTGAAAAAAATCAGCAGAGTGTTTGGTAAACTTTTTTGTAAAAGTGCTTTTGAAAAAAAAAAACAGTCTGATAGTGGGTCTTTTCATTAAAGGAGCACTGTAGCTCCATGTGCTTTGAAAAAAAGCCAGTTTTCCAAAGCTACAAATAGCAGCTTCAGCTTTTTCCTTTGATTTCAGCTTATTCTCACAGCAGCTTCCAAAATAAGCTCTTTTTTTTCAGTTTACCAAACACCTTAAACCCTCACAGCTTTTTTTCATAGGTGCTTTTTTTTTTAAGCACCTCACTCCCAAACCGCCCCTTACTATTCTAAGTTGGCCCGGTCTTGTAACAAAACTTAACAACTTGACAACGCATTGTAATAAAATAATATATAAAGCACAATTAAATGTTATAGAGATCAAAAGTTTAAACTAAATTTGAAAACCAAATGATGTGTCACAAATATGAAATAAACACATTAATTAGTACTTAGATAATAATTCAATCATTAATATTCACATCATTTAGTTTAGAAATTTAATCTCCCTAGCATTATCTTTCCTATAACACAAAATTTCCAAACATATTATTTCAGATAGTCATATAAACACGTGTTTTTCTTTTGATAATTGGAAACCAGTAGGAGGCCAATTCATCATGCCTGTAGTTTCTTTGAAAAACCGAAAGGACGAGGGGACATGATATCGATCTCCGCATTAAAAAGAAGGGAAACTGAATATAAATCTAATTTAGAAAAAAAAAAGCAGTAAACATAATTCTTCAAAAGTAAAATCTCGAACATGAAAACCCCATAGGGTTGGTCACCGTGGAAAATGAACAAAGGTTTAGAACGCCAAACCTGTTAACTCGAGTTCAAACTCTTACAATTGCACTTCTTGGGACCACAAACTCTGATTTGCCATACCGTTTTGACTTGAGGATTCCTCCTTTGAAAGAGATTCGGCTTACTCTTGTGTGTATTAAGCAAAGAACAATCCTCTGTTTCCTTGTTTTGTAGTTGTAACATATTCTCTCTCAATAATAGTGTGCGCGTGCACATATATTTTGTAGGTATATATGTGTGTTTCTAATTGGACTTGTAATGCAGTAATGGGTTTGTTCCGAGGACTAGTGACGAATCTTCAAAAAATTTTGGGTAGGTCACGCATTCATATTGCTAATTGATTTTTTTATGATTGTTTTATTAATAATTAAAATTATTTTAAAATAATTGTAATTTTATATTTGTTTTCTTGAATGAACTTAGGAATCAATCATATATATGAGATGAAATTGATGCACGAGCGGGTCCAACAGTTTCTACCTCTCATGTGTAAAGCCACAAAAAATACACATGAAACTAAGGCCTTTAAGGCAGCACTGTGTGTTGCAGCAGAATGAGGGCATGTGGAGTATATTACTCATTTCTGTATAAATGAATTAAATGATGAGTCATTTCCTATACCTGTAAGTTTCATTACGAGCAAAAACTATCAAAGCTTGTTCCAAATTGCCGCTGAATGTCGTCACCACAAAGTTTATAATCTTATTTATGTCCTCTATGAGTTGTTCCATGAACAAGATAACAATGCTAGCCAAGGTCCAATACAAGACAATGTAGGGTGGAGAAATTACTTTGGCAATAATATGCTACACACAGTGGCAAGTATTACCCCATTGTCACAGATTGATCACATTCGAGGTGCAGCTTTGCAAATGCAAAGAGAACAACAGTGGTTCAAGGTGACTATTTATCTGTCAATCTACCTCTATATACATATGTGCCTATATTTAGTCTATATGTTGTTTATACATATTTTTGTGGCTATAGTTTTACTCTCATTTTCTCTTATTCCCCTCCCTTATTTTGTTATTTTATTTATTCAATTTCAAAGAAAAAACAGAGAATGCAGAATTACTTAGAAATAAAAAATAAATAAAAAGTAAAAGCTTGTCTACGTGAACAAGCATGATAAGAAAATATTGAAATTAAAAAGAAAAACATTATTATGTACTACGTACTATACTATCATCCTATGTAACTTAACTAGTGATTTAGGGTTATGTGGTGTCTCAAAGACCAAATGTTCAAGGATTAATATGAAGAGATAAGGATTTCATACACTTCCCAAAATATCTTTTGTCGCCAATAATGCAGGAGGTGGAGAGCCATGCATATCCAAAGGATCGTGAACATGTAAACGGAGATAATATGACACCGCGAGAAATATTTATGGAGAATCACAAAGAAATGGGAAAAGAGGCAGAAAAGTCAATGAAGGAAACATCAACTTCTTGTACAGTTGTAGGTGCTCTCATTGTTACCATAATGTTTGCTGCAGCATTCACAGTTCCGGGTGGAAATGATGAAAATACAGGCCTTCCTAAATTCTTAACTAAAAAGGTATTCACAACATTTATAGTTTCAGATGCAATCTCGCTCTTTTCTTCAACAACTTCGGTTATCATGTTTTTGGGCATTCTCACATCACGTTATTCCGAAGATGATTTTCACAAATCTTTGCCCACAAAAATGATAATAGGCCTTTTCACCCTCTTCTTATCTATCGCCACCATGATGATTGTCTTTTCTTGTGCCCTTTACATTATGCTTGATGGGAAACCATCGATTGTTATTCCAATCATTTTGCTTGCCAGCGTTCCAATTGCCTCCTTCATCTGGATGCAATTTCCGTTGCTTGTTGCGTTAATCATTTCTACTTTTGGGCGGGGAATATTTGATAAGAAACCATATAAAAAGTCGTTGAATTCCAGTGTTGTCTTTACTTAAGTTTGGATTTGCTACTTTTTAAGAAACTTGTAAAGAGAATCCAATGTATGCGCTTTCTATTAGTATTTGGCCCATTACGAATGTGATTTTTCCTTGGATAATAATGTATGTTCTTTGATCATAAAAGAAAATTCCAACTTCAATTTATATTTTCGAGTTTTCTTTTTTGGTGAATTTCTATTTTGAGTTTGTTTCTAAGACAAACTCTCTCTATGAGCTCTATTTTTTGGTCGATAAAATGAATTGATTGAAGCAACCCAAAAAGGGGAAAAGTTCAACAATGTTATCTCAAGTAGAAAAAAAAAATATAAAGAGACTAACAAAACTAAGCCATACAGGCATACAAAGGGAAGGCAGTAGGCACTGTCGAGCCACAATAAATAAAGTACCGGAGGACATGGTAATCCATCACGTGATATAAAGAAAACAACCGTTCCTTAACCAATAAAATCAAACTCTCAGGATGGTGAGAATAAGAAAAAAACTACTTGATAGTTATGTTGACGAAAGAAGTAAAAAGTGTTGATAATGAATCTCATATTGATTGGAAGATTGACCTTCCATGAACTTATATGTAAGTTGGGCTACTCACCATATCGTTAATCGATTTTATGGTGGAACCTCAACTTTCTTATGGTATGAGAGTAGATTGGCCTACGTGTGAAGGCCAACGGCCACACATGCTTTACATCATTCAATTCGTATTGCTCACGTGTTTGGCTTGAAAATTCACAACATGTGAGGGGCCTGTAAGGATGTGAAGGTAAAAGAATCCTACAATAATGAAAGGAGAAACCTTGCAAAGGAAAAGTGGAGATAACCTTTGTTCTCCTATTTGCTGCATTATGGGCCATGTTGATACTGGTAAAACTAAGTTGCTGGATTGTATCCGAGGCTCAAATGTTCAGGAAGGTGAGGCTGGAGGTATTACTCATAACAGATTGGAGCAACATATTTTCTTCTGGGAACATCCGTGAGAGGACCGAGGAACTGAAAGCTGATGCGAAGATGAAGGTCCTTGGTCTTTTGGTCATTGACACCTACGGGCACGGCGTTCAGGTTTATGTGATATTGCTATGCTGGTTGTTGACATTATGCATGGCTCAGAGCCTTGGACAATAGGGTCACTCAATCTTTTTAAAATGCGGAATACGGAATTCATTGTTGCATTGAATAAGGTGGACAGACTCTACGGGTGGAAAACCTGCCGCAATGCACCCATTGTGAAAGCAATGAAGAAACAATCTAAGGATGTACAAAATAAGTCCAATATGAAGCTCGCTACAAGTGCCGCTGGCGGTGAAGGGATTCCAGATTTGCTATTACTATTGCTTCAGTGGACGCTGAAAACTATGGTTGAGAAACTCACTTTCAGCAGTAAAATGGTTAAGGTTACAGAAGGCCATGGGACAACAATTGGCATTGTATTGGTTAATGGTGTGCTTCATGAAGGAGATCAAATAGTTGTTTGCGGCATGCAAGGGCCTATTGTTACTACAATTCGAGCTTTATTGACACCACATTCAATGAAAGAACTTCATGTGAAAGGGAACCCCAACTTCTTAGCCCTTGCAAGGTTTGTCCTTATAAGAGGTTGGGCTACTCTTCATATTGTCAATTGGTTTTATGGTGGAACCCCAACTTTTTATAAGCTCGATTTCAACTTGCTTTAGGCTTAATTTCATCCACTGATGCTGAACTTAATCTTTGATATTCAACTTGTATGACTACCTGCTTCGTTAATCTCTAAACGTAATCTCGTTATTCTAATCATGGTATTCAGTTTACACAATGAGTAAGTTACATGCACATATTGGAATTTATTGTGTGCATTATGAATTTGTATTGCTTTGCACAATTTTCTGGCCTTTAATTTGATCATCTTTTTCTTCTTTTCTTTATCGCTCCTCCTGGCGCTTGAGGGACGTTATGCTTGCACGGTCAATGGTGTCTCTGCCCGTTCAATGCTGTCCAAGAGATGCTCGATCGCGGTGCAACACTTTCTGCTCATGTTACTAATCTCCATGTTAAAGGGATGCATGTATTGTTAGAATCTTCTGTTGCATGTTCTGGTTTTCGTTTTTATTCCAGGAGTTGTGGGATCTATGATTTCTTAATTGATTTCTTACCTATTCTTACCTTGATGCTTATTCCAAGTTTCGTGCTTAGTCAGTTTTAACTTGCTGTCTTAATTTCTTGCAGAGTTGATCTTATGTAGACAGTAGTGGAGCCTCGACAATGAAGCTTTATTGATCATATGTTTTGTTTGTTTCATGAGCGCTTCCACAGGCACCAAATCTTGCGGAGCACAGCGTGGAGAAAGAATGTGCTTTGTACGGACCGATAGGTTTTCAGATTCTATCAAATGGCATGTCGCAATTCTTACTATTTTTTTTCTTGCCTATCCCTTTAAACCAAAATCAATATTAATGTTAAAAAAGGAATGTTTGATATGTGTATGTCATTTCTGTTGAGCTCATCCTTGCATACAGTTTGTCATGGCTCTGGGGTTTTCTCAGACTTGAATCACATTGCGCTGCAGATTGAAAGGGCACGCAGAATGTCTCCTGTGAAGTTTTCTCTTGACAAGCATGACTGCATTCTTAAATTGGTAATGTAAGAATGCTATATATCGTGTGTCAAAATTTACCCACACATGTTTTACAAAATTACACTCTTTGCCCCTACATTATTGTCAAAAGACAATTATTATATCACATTAAATACTGTATCATAGTATTTGCTGCGTTACAAGCCATGTTGATGCTAGTAAAACTCAATTGTTGGATTGTATCCGAGGCACAAATCTTCACCATTGTTGGGATGATACACTTTGGTCCTTAACTATTGTGTCATCGTTTTATCATACAATAATGATAATCAGAATTGTTCATTATCTTTATGATCATTTAAATGTTATCTATAAAAAAATTAATTAATTTGAAAATTGTTTAATCATCTATACTAGTTGTCCCGCACCTAACCTTTCTCCAAAAGCTCTCTCTCTCAACAAAACCTAGTTGGCTACCTTCATCACTACCGGCCTCTGGCTTTGGCTGGGGCCGATGGCAGCTTCTCCCTTTCTCCTCCTAGCCCTCAGTCCTTCCTCTTTCTCCATCTTCCTCATCCCAGCCTTCTTCCCCCTTGCCATCCACGATCTTCTTTTCCCCTGACCTCACGCCGACCACTCATTCTCAGCCTTTACTTACCTCTTCTCCCCCCCCCGGGCTTCTCTCCCACCATTTTGTAAGCAGTTTTCCATGGATAAGTCTTATACCCAGATTCGGGTCATGCCCTTTCAAGATTTCTTCTTCGATTTGGCGCTCGATTTCTTAGTTTGGAGTTGGATTCATGGTTGCAGGTGGGATCCATCATCGTTAACTCGTTTCCATGGTGATGTCACCTTATTCGCCTGGTTTTTGTGGCTGCACTGACATGCGCATTCAGATCTGGCGGCTTGTACATCTCGGCTTGTGCGGCTCAACTTGATTTGGCAGTTTGGCTTGTACGTCTCGGACCTGGTGAATTCGCTGCCTGTTACGGCTAGCTATTATGGTGTTTGATGTGTGGATGCCGGAATCTCACTAGTCCGGTGAATTTGTAGGTGGCCTTGGCATGAGTGCCTTCTCCCCCAATGTGTTGAGTTGACTAGCGGATGCCTTCTCGAAGTAGTGTAGTTGTGTTTTAGGTTGCCTGGCGAGCACCGTGGTGGCGTTGTTGTATTGGCTAGATTGGTCTTTGCATGTGTACTATGAGTTATGTAGTCTCGCCTGTCAACGATGACTTGATGTTGTCTCGCTCTACCGTGATGACTTTATGTGGCCTCCCTATTCAACGATGACTAAGCATTTCTCTGTAGCGTCCATCATTTATTGTGACAGATTTGTACTGGTGGTAGCCTACTAGGGTTTTACTCTTATTTGTCTATTTGTGCAAATTCATTCCATATCAATTTATTGGTCAGTGGAGCTATGTACCCAATGTCACTCTTGTATTTGTTTGTGATGATTAATGAAATATCATGTTATCGTTTCTTGTAAAAAAATAAAAGGTCTAAGGATAGGGGATGTGCTTAGCCTCGCAATGAGCTACTAATAATGTGATTTAAATTCGTTTTTGTCAAGAAACGAACCTAAAACCTTTCACTTATAAGTGAAGAGAAATACCACTAAACCAAGGTTGCCAAATTTAACTTTAAAATTTTAACTCTTAAGCATTAGTTTTTAACTATAGTCATATACGCAAATTCATATATGAACCTACTTAACCAAGCACATACGACACCGTTCCATTATCACTCCCGCACAGACGACGACACAATCTGAGACTCTCTCTCGTCCATCCACAGCAGCTTCGTTAGCTTTGGAGAGAGATGGAGGAGGAGAGAGCGAGAAAGAAACTACTGATACTCTACGCCACCCAAACCGGAAACGCTTTAGACGTCGCCGAGCGAGTGGGCCGCGAAGCCGAGCGCAGAGGCTGCCCCGTCCACCTTCTCTCCCTGGACCAATACGACGCCGTAAGCAGTCCTCCCTTGCATTCAATTTTGTTATTCTTCTGATTAAAACAATAATTGCATTACCTGAAGAATAATTTTTTAATTTTTCTGTTTTACTCAGAGATGCCTAGCTCAAGAGGGCACTGTAATTTTTGTTGTTTCAACCACTGGCCAGGGAGATACTCCTGATCCCATGAAGGTAAAAAGCTTTTGCTTTTTCTTAGCAATTCAGTTAACTTCCTGTGGGTAATTTGATAAAGGTTAAATATGTGAAAAAGATTGCATCTTTATGTGTATGCAGGGGTTTTGGAAAGATCTTCTGCAGAAAAATCTGACTAGGCAATGGCTGGAGGGACTCCGTTACGCTGTTTTCGGATTGGGTGATTCCGGATACCAGAAATTCAATGTATATTGTTTTGTGCCATTTCTTTATCTTCTGCACGATTGTTTGTTGCAGCCTGTTGTATGATTGATGAATATAAGGTGTTGCTTTTTGACCCGTTAATTTATATGGAATTTATATGCTTGTGACGTTCGAGTTGTGGTTTGCAGTTTGTGGCAAAGAAGCTTGATAGGAGACTTTTGGACCTTGGGGCAACCCCGATTGTCCAAAGAGGTTTGGGAGACGATCAGCACCCGTCAGGGTACG